TGATAGATTATTTAAAATATATGGCCAGGAAAAAATTTTGTTTGTTTGTTTTGTTTTGTTTTGATGGGACAAGTAAAAATCTTTTTCGCGAACTCGATCTGGCCCTTTGAAAAATCCTTAGCATTTAGTCCTATACAGAATATTTCTGAAATTTTTTCATAATGGTCTTAAAAGGTTCTTAAAAATCTTACATTTGACTAATTGAAACCTGCAGAAATCTTGTTTTTATATTATTTAGACAATTCTGACTTCATTTATTTCTATTCTGACTTCATGTTTTTAAGTTTTTTCTTTATTCCTTTCAATTCTATTTAAATTATGATTTTCTAATTTAAATACTGACCTAATTTAAAAAATTTTGGACTTTATTCTTCTTTATTCTTTTCAGTTCTGATTTATTATTTTCAATTCTGACTTTATTCTTTTCAGTTCTGATTTAATTCCTTTCAATTCTGGTAATTCTGACTTTATATGTCTCTGATTTGCAACTTTATTTCTCAGAATTCCACATTTATTTCTATAAATTCTGACTTTATTTTTTGCTTGTTTAATTCTAACTTCATTTCTGACATTTCTGGCTTCATTTCCTAACTTTATCATAATTCTGACTTTATTTCCTTCTATTCTGACTATTCCTCACAGCAAATAGGTCGTTGTTTAAGTCAGTTTGAACATTTCTGTATGGAGTCTGCATGTTCTCCCGTGTTGGCATGGGTTTCCTCCGGTTTTCCCCTACAGTCCAAAGACATGCGCTGTAGGTAAATTGAATAAACTAAATTGCCCGTAGTGTATGTGTGTGAATGCAGGAGTGTGTGGGTGTTTCCCAGTACTGGGTTGCAGCTGGGGTCACCACAGTGGAATAAACCGCCAACATATCCAGCATATGTTTTACACAGCAGATGCCCTTCCAGCTGCAACCCATCACTGGGAAAACCCTTACACTCCCATTCACACACATACACTATGGATTTAGCTTACCCAATTCATCTATACCACGTCTTTGGACTTGTGGGGGAAACCGGAGCACCCAGAGGAAAACCACACGAACACGAGGAGAACATGCATGCAAACTCCACACAGAAACGCCAACTGACCCAGCAGAGGTTCGAACAAGCGACCTTCTTGCTGTGAAGCGATTGTGCCACCATGACTCCCTCCCAGGCTATCATGTTTTAAATATACATTTACTATTATATCTACTACCTTTCTTCAAATGTCTGTTTTGTTTGTGCTTTCAGAGCCCACAAATGAGGAACTCATGATCAGCAGCAGCTCTGGAAGCACATCTGACTTCACCCAACTCTCTTTCTGTTGATGTTTGCATTCAAAGGTAGTCCAGTTGTTTCTGCATGCCATTGGGTTCAAGACCTCATGAAGTTGCACTATTACAGACAAAACCGTATAGAGTTTTGAATGTCGCTACAAAATGTAAAATGCAAATGCACTGCTCTGACTACCTCTCATTTTAGTTCTTTTAAAGTCATAACAGGGGTCCTGGTACCAGTTGGATGTTTGTAATCCAGTACTTTTAAATTCAAATCATGAAAAAATGAACAATTGTAATTATTTTTATTATGATGTCATGAAAGGGAATGTGATTTAATCTTTGTTTGAAGTTTGCATGAGTAGTCTAAAAGTGTATTTAACACGAAGTCTAACTCAAATGTGTAGAACAGGTCAAAAAGTCACTTTGTAGAGTTTATTTTGGAAGAAAGTGCTATATTTAAAAGGGGCTTGTTATGCTGCTTTATAATGTACACATTATTAAGATTTCAGCTTGTTTGTAAGTCTGTTTGTTTGTTTAGTAGAGAGATATGGGCGAATGCTTATTTATGATTTAGGCTAAAAAATGTCATTTATTATTTTATTTTAAAATGCTGGTAGCATGTTTGCTTTATTTTTGTGGGAAAAAGTTACAAAGCATTTGTTAAATTATTAACTGTATTTTATTTTCAGTTTAATGTATCAAATTCATTTGTTTTACATTTGTAAATTTTATGATATTAAAAAATATAAAGCTTTCTAGCAAACAGCTTTTAGGATTTTTTAGAGCCCCCTATTGGCAAGACGATTAAAAAAAAATTATATATATATATATATATATATATATATATATATATATATATATATATATATATATATATATATATATATATATTTTTTTTTTTTTTTTTTTTTTATAAAAGTTTGGGGTCAGTAGGATTTTAAAATAAGCTTCTTCTGCTCACCAAGGCTGCATTTATTAAATCAAAAATACAGTGCAAATTGTAAAATGTTATTGCATTATAAAATAGTTGTTTAAAAATTGTTTATAATTTAATTTAATAATTTATTCCAGTGATTTTACTGGTGATGAATTTTTAGCTTCAAATATTTATTATTATAAATGGTAACAGTAATAAAAGCAATAATGACTGGAGGAATAATTTCATTTGAAACTACATACAGTAAGAAATCAGTTATTTAAAACTGTAATAAATATTTAACAATTTAACCTTTTTTACATTTAATAAATGGCGCATTGATGAACATAATAGTTTTCTTTAAAAAAATACATGAAAAAAACTGATCCCAAACCTTTAACCGGTAGTTTAAATATTAAAATATATTTATATATACATGAAAAAAACTATTACATTTTACACTTGAAGTGGGCAGACATACGTTTTTGTTAGTTTTCTTTGTAATTTTTTTTTACAATATTTTATTTCCTGATGTAAAGAGAATGACTTCCTTTTTGAATTTATTTAAAATATATCAAATTTGATTTGTATAAAATTCTGTGTAATGTACTGAAATGGTCATCAGTGTCACTGTTCATTTTCATTAATCATATATTTAGATAATAGCCTACTAACATTGTGCAAATCTACTTCCCCAATGATGAAACATGAAATCTAAAGCAGAAAGTCTCCACAGTTTTAATGAATGCTCCATTAGTGCTGCATGTTGTTACATTTTCTCTTAACTGAGGCATTTTAATGCATTTATTTATTTTCTTCTTGTCAAAAGGGGCAAAAGGTCATGAATAACACATACTAATACATAAATAAATCTTTTATATGTTCTTTTATTAACATTACAAACCCTGATTAATTCTCCTGTGTGGAGGATGTGGTGTTTATTGCTTTTCGAGAAATAAAAAATAAAATAAAAAAGATTTTCTTTGAATGTTTTTTTGTGCATGACTTAGTAAACATTCATTTTCCTTTGGGTTAGTCCCTTAATTCATCAGGGGTTACCACAGTGGAATGAACTGCCAACTTATCCAGCATTTGTTTTACACAGCAGATGCCTTTCCAGCTGCAACCGAGTACTGGGAAACACCCATACACATTCATTCACACACACATACACTAGCACATGTGTTTGGACTGTGGGGGAAACCAGAGCACCCGGAGGAAACCCACACGAACATAGGGAGAACATGCAAACTCCACACAGAAATGCCAACTTACACAGCCGAGACTCGAATCAGTGACCTTCTTGCCATGAGGCAATAGTGCTAACCACTGAGCCACACCCTTAGTAAACATGTTTCCTAAAATATATGGTACAGTAATCCAATCAGGACCTTCCTAAAGCCACGTTTGTTGAAAACGCCCTAAGAAAAAATCATCCAATCACAACCAAGCATTCGACAACCCTGTGATATTATTTTTATAATGATTTATATAAGACACATACGAGAACACATTTTCATATTTTAATGTTGAAATATTGTGTAACTCATCAATTAAACCAATCTAACGTACAGACACATTTTAGTGCACAATCATGTAGTGCTTTGTGTGATTCACAGCATTGCTGCAAGTAAGTACAACATCCCAAAATTACAAAGAAGTATTGTAGAGTTTACAAGAGTTTAACATTACCAGAGCCATCACCAGATATATTCAACTCACATTTTACACGAGATGGCAGTAAAAATGCTGCAAGACAACAGATGTGATTTATTTCATTACCAGCACTTTTGTTTTTGTATGCTGGCATATGCTACAGTTGAAGTCAGAATTATTAGCCCCCTTTAAATAGGTGATTTTTTTTAATAATTCCTAAATGATGTCCAACAGAGCAAGCACATTTTGACAGTATGTCTGATAATATTTTTTCTTCCGGAGAAAGTCTTATTTGTTTTATTTCAGCTAGAATAAAAGCAGTTTTGAATTTTTTTAAACATCATTTTAAGGTCAAAATTATTAGCCCCTTTAAGGCTATATTTTTTTTTTCGATAGTCTACAGAACAAACCATCGTTGTACAATAACTTGCCTAATAACCCTAACCAGCCTAGTTAACCTAATTAAACTAAATACGCCTTTAAATGTCACTTTAATCTGTATAGAAGAGTAAAATGATAAAATAAATCAGTTATAAGAAATTAGTTATTAAAACTTTTATGTTTAGAAATGTGTTGAAAAAAATCTGCTCTCCATTAAACAGAAATTGGGGGAAAATAAACAGGGGTTAATAATTCTGGGGGTTTTAGAATTCTGACTTCAACTGTATATATTTACTCATTTGCAGATATATTATATCTAGTATTTTATGTCAGATGTGTGGTTTACCCTAAATGACACAGTAAGCAGAGACATTACTAGTAAAATAAAAAAATTAAATAGTGTAAAATGCATCTATTATTCATAGTTCTTTTGTCAATTCCCTTATAAATCTGAATGCATATGCATTTGCAATAGTATCTGGATGCAGCCTTTATGATGCAAGCTGAGATTGCATCACTCAGCGATGCAATGTCAGACACAATGCACACAATGGAGTGAGTGACGTCACCGTGATGGGTAGGGTTAGGTGAGCCCATTAAAAAGCATTGGATGCAGCCCAGATTGCACTGCACCAGGTCTGCATCCAGACCCCTCTCTGCATATGTTTTGTTCAGAAAGAACCATCTGCAAATGAATCTCAAACACCTTTTAAAATATGTTTTTGACCGCTGAGAATAAGGCACGTTGGATGAGTTATGCTTTTGAACTGTTTTAACATACTTCTGTTTTTATTGTGTTTAAAAAAAAAACCCCAAGCATGTTTAAATCGCAAACCACTGAAAATATCAAATGTATAAAAAAGTGAAAAACAAAAACAGGAGACTTCCTTAGAAAAGTATTGCACACCAGTATTAAGGCCATTTTGGTAAACATTCCCATATCATGCACTTGCTGAAGCACCAATATGCTATCTGAAGTTCAAACAAAGAAAAATCGCTCGCGCTGACAAATATCGAACCTATTTTACATTCACAGAAGAGACCAGGGCAGCATTTTTTGTTGTATGCACATATTACTCCTTTTTTCCAAATCTTCAATTTAGAGTAAACAAGATCCATGCTAAATAAATAAATAAAACAATCTTTTTAAATAAACAGAGCATGTTTTCCCCAACGCAGCTTTTTGGTTTTTCGTCGTGCATATTTGAGTACATTCAGTTTCCAAACTCCTCCACGTAACACAGGCATCTGCTTTTAATGCAAGTCGTCTTCTCCCTGCCTCAAGTCATCCAGGAATCTTTGCACTATTGACACTATGTACATCATGGCAGCAATGCAGCGCTGCTAAAACTTGAAGAGGTTGATGAAACCCTGTGGAGACACTGCTTTGCAACAGCTCTCTGGGTTATTGGCAGTGCAAGGATGGTCTGTATCCTGAAGAGAGAAAAAAAGGAGAATTCTGTTAGTGCCAAAAAATTGGCTATAGACAGTGACCAAAAAATAAACTAAAAGCTCACCTTCCAGAAGAGGATGTGGCAGTGTGTGCAGAACTGTAATGTGTCGCTGTACTGCTCTTTGTGAGGGTAACACCGACACAGCTTAAAATACATCTTTTTCCATTCCAACTGCCCTTTATCTGAAACCATGAGGCGCTTGCGGATCTGTGAAAAACATGGCAACTTTATATCAAATCATGAGGCTGAACAAAAAATTATGTAAATAATATGATGTTTCCTAGTTAATGGTCATGCACCCATTTACGAATTTCACTTATTTTTATTTTTGATTATTAATGGCTTATTACTAAAAAACATAAAGACTCGTTATTTTGGTTTAATGTGCCACATTAAAAAGTGGTCGACCAATAAATTTAGCGCTTTTGTTAACATGCTCTGGGCTGCTGAATTTAGTCAAACACTATTTGGTGGTTTTAAACCTATAGGAGCTTCTTTCTTCTGTTGAACAGAAGAACAATATTCTGTTGATATCATAATTTGCACGTCAGTTTCTAATGGAAACCAACATTTTTCAAAATATCTTCTTTTATGTTCAACAAGAGGGAAAAAACTCAAAAGATTTCGAAGCATTTGGTGATTACGTGATAAAGCAAATTATCATTTTTGAGTGAACGACCCCTTTAAAAGAAGGTTAAAATAATGTTAATACAGTCATTTCTGTCACTTATAACGTTTGGAAACAAAAAAAAGACAAGAAGCTGCACAAGAATTATCATTTCTAGTGCGCACCCATCACTCAAACGCAGTATACCAGGGCTATTCAATTAGTTTATCATGGGAGCCAGTTCATGAAAAGCAACCCAAATGAAGGGCTGGAGAGATATGACTTACAATGCGAGTGATTACACAACAGCCTATGTTGTATTTTTGCTCCTTAAGACACCCATGTTGGCTTTTTTTTTACATTTAAATGTTAATAATATGTTGTATTTTGAAACTACATAATATCAGTGCATTGTACAATGTGGCAAATGTATTTCAAAGCACATCAAAATCAGTGCATCGCATAAGTAGGCTTCTTCTACATTTAAACTCATTCATTTGTTGTGTTTTAAACTGCATAACAATTCGAAATGCAACAACTATTGATTTTGGTTGTGCGATTAGAGTCCGAAGAACAATCAGGGTTTCGCAGTTATCACATCTCATGTAAATTTAAGCTTTATATTAGGTAGGTATTTAAATGATTACATACATAATCATTTTAATAATTTGTCTAGCACATCTTTTGTTTAGATTGCGCCATATGTTTTCTACTGAGTGCGCCTGGAAAGGTGCGAGTGCGTCACTCCACTTGCGCATGCATATCAACATATATTCTTACATATTGGAAAAAACAAACATGTGCATGGAAAAGATGCGATATGTGAAATGCCCGCTGCTTTAGATAATGAAGTGTGCGTGCGTATTAGCCTTGGTGTAGAAGCTCGGAACTTTGAACTAGTGCACAGTTGGCATAACTGTGTTTAGTTGCAGCATTTTCATTCCGTGCAACAGAAATGCGATGTTGAGAAGCCTTTAAGATTAATTCAGTGACGAATTTAAGCGACTATAGTGAAATCGGCTTATCTTTACATCCCTATTATCGATATCAGTGCATTGTAAAAAAAGGCCTTTTCTACAAACATATTTAAATGTTTTTGGCTGCTTGCGCCACTCGTTTAATGTCAAGTGACTCGTGCTCTGCACAGCCTTCAACAGCAGCTCGTGCTGTATTGAACAGACGCACAGCACTTCATAACTATAGCTGCTGTTTTTCAACTAAACTAAATTTATTTTTGATGGTCACACTATTTGGAGGGCCGGAACAATTGCCTCAAGGGCGAGGTTAAATAGCAAAATTAAAACAAAATTCTATTAGATAATTTCAGATATTAGATAGCACAGTTAGTTTTGGATAAAATGTGACACTGCAAATTAAAAAGCCACCATCATGTACCTGTCTGTCTGTGAAGTGATACTGGCAGAGCTTTTTCCACAGCAGCCGATCTTCTGTCAACATACTCAGGTCAGGACACACTTGACCCAGACTGACCAGATCTCGTCCATCCGAGAGACGCTGCATGATGTTGAGCTGTAAACTCACTGGCAGTTCCAGCAACGTCATCCCTGTGTTTTTGGGCTGGACAAATGACAGCAGAAGGTCTCGGTTTACATTTAGGATCTGAACAATTTCAGGAGATTTGTTTGCTAAACTATGCAAATATAAAGAGTTTTACAAATATCCACATATGTAATATATTCAAAGTACAATATACACACATACATCATGAAAGTACAAACATTTTTCATGATTATCATGATTATTACACTGCTCTCTCGAATACTTAATTCTGATTGGTCAACCCTAATCCAAAGTATGTTATAACAGAAATAACCCCTCATACTAATAACACCAGTTCATCTGGGTGCTAAAACATAATGTTGTTATGTGAATACATTCATATCCATATTTATATGATTGTCTTATTTATATGCCTAGGGTTGTTATTTAATGTCGTTTGGCGCCATCTTGAGATTGAAAAAATACACAGGTTAGTTTATCCTGCATTCAGCTATTTTTGATAGTCTAAATCTTGGTGGTTGTTTTTGCAGAATAAAGACTTTTACATAAGCCCGTCAGGCTTTATTCTGCGAAAACAAAAATCACAGAGATGTCAATTAACAACATCATTGCCCAGAATTAAAGGAAAACTCCACTTTTTTTTTTGGGGGGGGGAGGGGGGGGGGATCTCTGGGTCTGGTACTTTTAGCTTAGTTTAGCATAAATCGTTCAATCAGATTAGACCATTAGCATCTTGCTCAATTTAAGGAAAATATGTAACAGTCAATATGGCGAATTAAGCCACGCCTACTAGTACAATCATCGATCGATATACACTGATGTTTCGCAGGGGGCAAAGCTTAGAACAGACGTGTGCTTTGAAAACACTTTATGTGGTCAACAAACACACTGGAATTCCAGCAAATTCTTGCTTGACAGACATAAGAAAAATATCCAAATAAATGCTTGAAATCTGTACTTTTTTATATAATAATTATTTTTAGGGGTTTTTACCTTTATTGTATAGGACAGTAGAGAGTATTGACAGGAAAGCATGGGGTACAGAGAGAGGGGACGGATCAGTATAAGACTGCGAGGTGGGAATCTAACTCGGGTCGCCGTGAGCACCGGAGTGCATGTGTCGACGCACTAACCACTACACCACTGGAGCAAACTAAATCTGTCCATTTAAATGAACCAACTACATTTAAAAACAAACGTTTTTAGGTTTTGTGATATTTATTAAACGAATGTGAGGTACAGTCAGTCATGTCAAACCCACATCGCATGACAGCAATTACTCAGTGTGCATGCACATTAACTCGAGCAACCTGAAAATATGCAGATTTAGTTTGATTCTGACATTTAGAAATGAAACTTATGAGATGGTTGTAGTTTATTGGCGATTCCAAATATGCAATGTAATCGTAAGCTTGGCAAACATTTTTGGAGAATTTGATGTCTCCCCATTCAGACAGAATGCTGAGCATACTGCCCGAGAAGTGTTTCAAAGATGGCCATCGAGTGAAATAACTGGCTGAATGTATTTAAAAATGGTAAAACTCAACTGTTTAACTCTAGGAAATTTGTAAAAATTTGTTCCTTTAAAAAAAGAATAATAAAAATTCAATCTTGCAGGTTTGGATTCTGGAATAAATTACACCAGAACTTTACATTATGGTTCATATACACTTACTGACTCACTCACCCTGTTGATCTGAATGTTGTCTAGCTGCTGCTGCCACTGCAGTATGTTCTCCATGCGATGCACCCAGATGTTGATGTTGCCCACCAGCACAGACTTGCCCATGTCCTGAACCAGACTGCACAGAGACGCATACAGTGTCTGCAGAAGTTCTTTAATCGGCCGGACATTTTGCTGATCATCGAGAACTGCGGAAGAGTGCAAATGTTTAGTTAGTTAAATAAAGTTCAAGGACGCACAACATAATTGGTTCAACAGTGTTGACAGGATCTGGTGTGTGTTACTGGAGACCTCATGTCCATGCCAGAGGCTTTCATAACACATCAAAACAAAATACCTTTCTGTTATGATTAAGACGTCGCACACTAATTTATATGGTAAACTGAGGAATGAAGAGAGCTCCAGGTAAATGTGGCCAACAAGTGAGCAATCTGCTTTCCTAAAACAACCTGCACCTTTGTTTAGCTGAGATGACTTTTGGTTTACAACACAGCTGAGGTTCTTGTTTGCTCTGTGAAGCTTGTTGTTGTTGTCGTTTCGGTGCAGACAATTATATAAATCTCCATTAAGCCATATTTTCGTTGAGAAGCTGACCAAGCTCACTAAAAAGTATTTTATTGCAAAAGATTTCGGACAACAGAATAAACAGATATTCTGTTATGGCAGATTTGAGCCTAATCTAAAACACAATTTTAATACAAATGTCAGAGTAAAATTTAAGAATGAAGTACTAAGAAAATGGAGAAAAAATTGCAGAATATCATGAAAACATATTTAATGCACGATGAGTCATGAAATTAGCCAAATTTCACATGAATTCTACAAGAATTTAAATATTTTATTTTATTAAATTCTAAATGTTTCTCAGTTCCAAATTGAGATTTATACAGCATCTGAATGCTGAATAAATAAGGATTCTAATGATGTATGATTTTGAGGGATAATTTAAAGGTTCAAATATCAAAATACTGATAAAATTCTTCTCTAAAGTCGTCCAAAATAAATTCTTAGCAATGCATATTATGAGTCAAAAACTTAGTTTCATACATTTATGGAATTAAACTTTCTAAATGTCTTTAAGAAAGATGATCTTTACCTAACCTTCTAATGTTTTCAATTTTTTTTAATTCTATAACTTTGATTCATACTAGGTATTTTATTGCGTATGTCCACAAATATATGCCAAGCAACATAAGACTGGATTTGTGGTCCAGGGTCAAATACTTCTAAACATTTTTTTATAAATAATGAATTTGTATTTTTATTATTATTATTATTATTATTATTATTATTATTATTATTATTATTATTATTATTATCATCATCAAACAAATAACAAATATTTTACAAATTTTAAATGCTATATATTTAAAGCATTGTGTGAAAGTAAATATTTTATAAATTATTTATTTACTTGCATTTTAACTCAATATCATTGTTTGTTTTAAAATGCAAACAAAAATATGCAAAAAATTAGTTTATATCATTACCACAAATTTTTTTTTCTGATTTTTTTATTAACATTTTGGTAAATAAAACAACTATTTCGCAATTAAAAAAACAGAGACAAATTATCATTTGTCCAACAGAGCACTCCGCCCCACTGCACCATTTCTATACAATACATTATGCACATTTTTAATCTGTTTTACATCAAAATACCTTTATATGGTCCCTCATCTATTGTACAAATATAGGCACACAATGAGTTACAATAGGCTTAGCAAATATAAAATAAAGAAATAAAATAATATAAAAAGAAATTAAGATAAAATGGAGGGAAGGAAAAAAAAAAGTGAGAAACAAATAAACAACGGTCAAACTGTAAATACTAAGTTTGGATCCATTTGCTCTATATATGTCAGCATTGGTTGCCAAATTAGATAACCTTTTTGAATGCAAAATTTTGTGGAGTACCGAATCTTCCCCATTGTACAATGGTGCATAAGATCCCAAATCCTACAATTCATATTTTAATGCGTGATAAAAAAAAATATATATAATTTCCATTAGAAACATTTACAAAGTTATAAAAACATCTGGCATAATTCTACAACTTGATAGAGAAGTAGAATGGGGGAAAAATCTTTTCATGGGGCCTCAGGAATGCAAGCTGACATTCTTGGAGTTTAACGGTGTCTATTAGTTCTCCAAATGAAGTGCTGAAGATGTGCGATACCAACAATAAAGCGTACCTTTCTGCACAACCCTTTCCAGAATGTTCATGTAGTTTTTCTGTGCCACTCCACTCAGAGAAGGCAGTTGGGACTTGGCGATGAGCTCCAGCAGCTGAAATGTTAAACATAAATTTGAGAGGTCAGACTGAGAGACTGTGTGTTCCAGCATTACTTACAGACTGTTATATTCCACTCTCTTCAGCCTTGGCAAAAACAAAGGGCTCAGAATTGGGACGCTCTCTTTCTCTCTCTCCCCCCTCCTCACACATTCACTCTGGCTTATGTCTGTTATTGAAGTTCAGACACAAGCAGATAAGCAGCATTACTTCAAATGCTTTACTGACTGTAAAACAAAGAGTGTGTAACTTTACCATAACTCAGCTTGTGTTATAAATGCATGCGATCAGTTTGACAACAACAGAGGTTGATATTGTGATGTTAGGACAGCCAAGAGCAGATATTTGTGTGGTCAGTTTGGCATGACTGGCATGTAATATCAGCACTGTTTGCATCATGGAGCAAAAGTGACCCACACTCGACCCAGCAGCATGTGAGCATTGTTATACCCCCTACACCCTCCACAGCAAGACCCTGATGACAGATGCTAGGAGGATTAACATTTAGGGCTAGGAAGATTTTAAACATTTAATATAAATGTCTCTTATTTAGGTTTACGGAGGCTCTATTCATGTTATTATTGCTGACTATATCTTTTTTTAATAATTACTGAAGAAAACTGAAATGGTTTATGATTTAATTTGTGAAACAAAAAGGAGTTACAAATAAGTTAAAAGTAATAAAATGTAAATAATTGACTATGTTTTTCTATTTTAATACAATTTCCTTTTTTCAAAACTATTTCCAGGCAAATTTGGAAATCTAAGTCAGTGATTATGATCAAACATTGTTTTGTAATTATTTAATAAAATAAAAAATAAAAACAATACAATATATTATTAATTGCAACATATTTGAAACAATAAATTTTTCATTATAAACATTTTTAAAATGCTAATTAGCTATTTGAAACACTTTTAAGATTAAAAAGCTGCATCACAGCTTGAATAAATTTTTGCATCACAGCAAAAATATGAAGCAGCACAACTTCACGATAAGGCTACTTGAAGAAACAAAACATTTCTTTAATGTTGCTTGTAACATCGTAATGTTTCAGCTCAAAACACCCATCAGATTATTTAGTAAACCTTTTTAAATCTGGGAAATTTGAGCAGTTATAGCTGTTTTTGTTGCCAGTGCCTTTAAAGCTGATTCTCTTTAAGTCCACAAACCAGCATTGAAGCCTCTTATTTTAAAATTGTACTGAGTCTATGCGGCTGTGATGATGAATTACGTAGAAATTTTGCTGTCTTTATTTCCAACATGCACTGTTTTAAAAACATTTTAAACATGTAAAACTCATTCTTGAGCATAATTGATGAAGATTGATGATCACAGAGAGCTGAACAGATCTGTTAATCCCAGTTGCATTCCGCACATATTCTTGTAGACAGAATTATACGTGTTACTATGGAGACATGTTAATACGTGTCTGTCAATCAATGCGGTGGGCAGGGAAACGGCCCACTGTCGCAGTGGGCCTCAAAATGAGAGGGATTTGGATCCTATTTTAACGTCGAAAATGTAAAAAAATAAAATAAAAAAATAAAAAATAAAAAGAGTTATTTTCTTTATATGATCGAAATATGACCGTGGACACACTATATCTACACAGGTCTGTCCAAACAGCTTACAAAAGTTGATTTTCATCATAGGTGCCCTTTAAAATTAATTACGTTAAATATCCGACCCTTTGACATTTAGAAATTATATAATCTACTGATGTTATTTATATCGGTGTAATGTTTTGCCACAACAATGTCATTCAAATGCTATTTGTATTCTCATATATAAAAAAAAACACATAGCATAGTAATTTATAGTAAATACGCACGATATTGGAAAAATCTAAGATTGTGATTTTTAGTTATTCTGTGATATATATTGCGATATAAAAACAATTTCACCAGATGACTTGAATATCTCCATTTGGAAAGAATTTATCATTTTAGACTGATTGGGGTTGGGGTGATTCTGTAGGAGGAGCAAAAAAAAAAAAAAAAAAAGATGAAATACAGTGTTTTGTCCTTTTCCGAGTATTCAGGTACAACAATTGAATAAAAAAAAAATAATAATTTAATCAAAATACATATTATTGAAGTTACAAACAACAATTCTCTGCAACTCTCACATGGTCACCAACTAAAGCTAAGCAGGGCTGTGTCTGGTCAGTACCTGGACCACATGGAAAGCTAGGTTGCTGCTGGAAGTGGTGTTAGTGAGACCAGCAGGGGGTGCTTAACCTGTTATCTGTGTGGGTCCTCATGGCCCGGTCTCTTGATGGGGACTCTATAGACTTTTTTTCTTAGAAAGCAAAATTACTTATGTTTTGCGTGTATGCGCAAGGAGAATGCTAAGAATTTCCAGTCAGCAGCTGATGCAAATAAACAGTTACATTTGGACAGCTTTGAAACGATAGTTTAAAACTATTTTTCCTGCTTTTAACATCTTTGAACTAATACTGCTGTCGATCAGCGCCACCTCCTGGACTGATGATCATTTTTAAAAATGTGATCTAATAGGAGGCGAGGCAGTGGAGCAGTAGGAAGTGCTGTCGCCTCACAGCAAGAAGGTTGCTGATTCGAACCTTGGCTCGGATGGTGTTTCTGTGGAGTTTGCATGTTCTCCCTGCCTTCGCTTGGGTTTCCTCCGGGTGCTCCGATTTCCCCCACAGTCCAAAGACATGTGGCACAGGTTGAATTGGGTAGGCTAAATTGTCCGTAGTGTATGAGTGTGTGTGTGGATGTTTCCCAGAGATGGGTTGCGGCTGGAAGGGCATACACCTTACTAAAGTATGATTAAAAAATAAAAACATAGCCTTTCCTATAAATTACTAGTGTTTTCTCATATGGGTTAGAAGCTCATTATTAAAGACAAAGTCATACTGATTGGTTACAGGGATTTGACATGCTATGAGATTACCAGATTTACGAGTAGTCTTTTTTTGGTCATATGTAGTCTCATATAGGTCTGGTTTTCCATCCCTACTGAACCCGATCTCTGTAACTGAGCTCCAACGCAACACCAGCACAAGGCCAGACAAGCAAGAGACAAACTGTAAGATAAACCTGACACTACGGTGTCTCAACAGCACTTGGAAATTTCGAGAAAAAAAAGGGATGAACGCTTGAAGCACTCAAGTGAACTTCAGTGACCGAAGTACAAAAGTCCCAAGTAAACATCTTGATCCTGATCCTGTGTTTACCTTAAGTGAACGCAAGGATTCATGACCCAATTTCTCCAGCACCTTTAGCTTGTCATAGCTGACTCTATAGCACAGTGGAATCAAGTGATCGGATCAGAATTCAGGGTCACAATGCAGACAGTTAGAGAGAAGGGCTTTGAGGGGGAGTTAATGGCCATCGAAGTCATTTGACTTTCCGTTCTGGTTTCATATGCTTTCTCAAGCTCAGCTGTCTGCTAGGACATTTTGTGACAGTGACCTCGCCGTCACACTGACCAGTGTTTTTCTGCTCTTGGCCTTTGCTTTCATCAATGGAACAAGTCAACCAAGAGGAACATTCAGTCATTAGTGACCCTAAACCAACGCATAGATGACCAACTTCAGTTCAAAGGCTCCCATTTACTACAGGTGTGAGTTTACAAAATCAGGCTACAATGATACTGTTTTTGCTAATTACGGGAGTTGTAAAAGGAAAATTTACTGAAGTGCGGTTAAACACTAGGGCTGAGTTAAAATAATAATAATAATAATAATAATAATGTGTAAATCCTGCAAATGATTCTTTGTGCTTGCTTTACTTAGTGATAGTTCACCCAAAAATGTAAATTCTCTCATCATTTACTCATCCTTAACTTGTTCCAAACAGGTTTAAGTTTCTTTCTTCTGTAGTGCACAAAATAAGATATTTTGAAGAATGTTGGAAAGCAGCAGCTATTGACTTCCACAGTAGGAAAAAAAATATGGATGTCAACAGCTGCTAGTTTCCAACATTCTTCAGAATAATATGTTTTGTTTTGTGAAAGTTCCCCTTGAGAGGATGTGAATACTCTTTGTACTTCACTTATCCTCCTGTAGATGTCACTATATTTCGAGTTGGTTCACTCACAAAAACAAAACAAAACGTATTGTCCATAGCAAGTTGTGCCAACATGAGCTAATTCTGTATATTACAGATGTACTAGGTGCTTTTTTATGTTTCGGTATAAATATTTCGAAATTCACTTGTAATTTTCAGCAAATTAATAAATGAACATTAATAATGAAGTGATTTCCAAACACGTGTCCTATTCTTATGCCCCAAATAGTGACACATCCGTCTCCAAAACCCGACAGGTGGACAAATCTAAACTTGCTTTTATTAAAGCAAATATAAATATGCATTTAATAAATAATACTGCTAATAACAATAACATTATACAAATGCAAATTGTCATGAATTAACTGAACAAGGCATGAAAGAAATGTACTATGTGTACAAATTGTACTATGTGCTCTGTGCAGTTTATGTGCATGTTAGTGATTCTTTTTTTTTTTTACCTTTTTTTTTGGTCCAAGGAGAAGTAAAAGTAATCAAACAAATGTGTGGGTGTGATTTTTTATTTTAAATAGAAATGTGTAGTTTGTTTTTATAGTTATTTCAGCAACCAGCAATCCTATTTAATCTATTTAAATATATATATATATATATATATATATATATATATATATATATATATATATATATATATATGTCTTAATGAAATACTAATCGAATAGATACAGAAACTAATCACAAACTAAATCTAATCAAATCAAAGTGTGAAATTTATGATACCATTAAAATAGCATTAATTGTGGAGATGGCTAAATAGGACTCCCTGTTCTTTCATATGCAATTTTCCTTAAGTTAATTTCTTCAGTTCAGACTATAGAGTTCATATTTGAGAATTTTGAACTGTAAACAGTATCTGATGATAGCGTTGCTTTATCATTTGTTTCCTCACCCATTTTAATTGAATTACCACATCACAAAGTACAATATTTATATTTATCACCGCTCAAGTTTGCTGTGATAATCTACACTCAGTTACACTCATATTTCCATAACTAGAAACACTGCAAAAATGCACACAGAGACATATGTGCATCTGCTATGAAACAGCCCCAGAGGCCCTCTTGTCTGGTGTGTGATGATAAGAATGAAAACAGTAGCAGATACCCTGAGCACAGGACCTAACCCTTCCTTCTTCATACGCTAAGCCTGGCTATAGTCACCATTCACCTAGCTATAAACAGACAGTGGAAACTCACCCTTACGACATAATTAAATCGCCTGGTGTCCTTGATGGCACTGCAGAAGTCCAAGCGATTGAATGCTTCTCCCAGAGTACAATATCCATGACGCTGTGAGAAATGATCAAAGAGGAGTTAGTGGACTGTTTGTTCACACTGAAACCCAGGAGGAAATCATTAACAGATCTTACCTCTTTGGTGCTCCCTTTATGGACATAAATCCATTTGTCTTTATAAAAATCTGAAACAAAGCAGTCAGTTAAGTTTTTACACTAGTAGACACCTCACATCTTAAAAAGTCATGAGACACGCTGACGACACTTACATGGAATTTTTGTGTTGTTGTTCAGCAAGTCCTTCTTTCGCTTCTTTGCAGCCACATCATAATTAATGCTGAGGATCAAATTCTCTTTGTCATGCTCTTCCTTGCAGTAGCTGAAAACAAAGACAAGTGCTTTTCGTTTAATATCATGTTAAAGGTCAATTATGCAAGTAATTGATATGCAAATGTAGTCATTTCTCGTCTGCATTTACAGCAACCGTTCTAGAAACAGTATATAGTTCCAGGATCTGACCTGTCCTATGGTCACTATTAATAGCAAGGTGATTAAAAGATGATGAGCAAACACAAAGGCATTTTGTGTTTACCACAGCAAGCTATTTACTGCAGTGCTGCATCACCATCTATAAAGATAGATATTTATATACAAATTTACGTAGACGTATGCATGTTTGGTTCAGCAAATTACTGGTCACACTTAAATAACACTTAATATGACACTTCATGGATTATCAAGCTAAATAACGTAATACGTAATCAAATAAATACTATATATAATATAAACGCATTTGAAAAAATGTTATTGAACAAATATTAAGCAACAAACATCTCACGACTGTAAAGTGAATCTGCTGTCAATAATTATATTAGAAATGTCTGTTTTTGGATTTGACGCAGATCTCGCGTCGACCTGCAGTAAACTACGCCATTTGTTTGATGATGCTCTCAGTGTTGGTCAACGGAGGATATCAGGGCAAAGACTTGAAGTGCAGATTAAACACCGACCTCTTCCTCTCCAAAACATTGTTATTCGTCTCGTTGTCATCTTTCGTCGTTTTTTTCCAGCCGTCCTCTGTTTTAACCCAGCTTTGACCAGGAGACCGCCAGTCTTGTCCAAGAAACGGCATTGTCAAGAACCGAAAACGAGCGACAACGAAAGAAAACCAACTAATGTTAAACTTGAGAAGCGGTTTAAGTGCTTTTCTCGCCGCAATATTAAATCCCACTGTGTCTGAACGCGTCTCTGATGATAAAAGTGCGCAGCTGTATTTATATTGTCAGGAGGAGAATCCGGAAGTTTTCCTGGCCCCGCCCCCTCTGGACGGCGCTTTCCAACACGTGGCTTTGTTTATCATCTTCCTTAATATTGCAAAACCTCAGTAGAAACATTATAGCTCGTAGAGCTCGGATCCCTGCCGGATCATCTGTCCTCATGCGCTTATGAAATATCATACACGGTAAATTCAATTTGATGAGCACAAGATTCTTATTCAAGTTCACCGTGTTAAACAAACAACAATAAGACTGTTCAGAAATGCCCAGACAAAAGCTTAAAATAGAAAGAAAGCCCTTCGGTTTAGATTATATATTTGAACAAGATATTAATGTTATATGTAATGCTGCCATATAAAAAACAGATAGATTGTAGGCCTAAGTTTGGGATATTGGAAAAATAAGACTATAATACACAAGATTAACCTTTAATCAGAATGGTGTATCGCCTACATATACTATAGTACAGTTGTCACCAAACTTGTTCCTGGAGGGCCGGTGTCCGGCAGATTTTAGCTCCAACCCTAATCAAAGATACCTGAACAAGCTAAGCAAGGTCTAACTAGGTATACTTGAAACATCCAGGCAGGTGTGTTGAAGCAAGATGGAGCTAAACCCTGCAGGGACACCGGCCCTCAAGGACCAGGATTGGTGACCCCTGCTATAGTATATGGTAGTAGGTACTACAGTGTTTTTGATACATTCTACAGTAAAATACATGAAGTAGTTCTTGCACATAATCTAACTATAAATGCAAACAAGCGACCAAATACCTAATTGTTTTCCAGCTTCCAGCACCTAGACTGCAGCTCTGCACAAGAAGTTTGGCCAGAGGAGAATCGGTCGTGCACAACTGATCCTGGTTTCTCTCGAGGTTTTATTTTCCTTCACTTTTGTCAATTGGTAAAGTTTTGTACCTTGTCAATGGCTTGCTTTGTTTGAAACTTGTGGAGATGCGCATCAATGGGTTTGCTCTTTAGTGTTTGGACTTGCAGCAGTGAATTTTAAACCACATTAAACTGCACTAAACTGATATTCAACTCTGAAAACTGAACTGACGCAGTTTCAATCTTCTATAACTTCTATGTTAAGCTGCTTTGACAAAAAGTGGCAAGTACTATAAAACATACAGTACCATGCCCTTTACTATAATTTGGTTAAAAACACTAGTATTTACTGTAATTTACTTGTATTTTGACTCCATAGAAGTGGGTCAAGCAAAGGCTGATTATCCATTATGAATAAAAGCATACGTTTTACTTTATCACTAAACCTGCTAGCAACAAGATCAGAGTCTAAGTGACCTTCTATTTAGATAACACCATTTTGTAAAATGAAACTGGTAGAGAACTGCGCTTCACACCGTAATAAGGAAACATGATCTTTTGGAAATCGATTTCATCAATACCTGTTCACTTTTGTTTGGTAATGATCTGCATACTGTGCGAGAAATGTGACCCAGCTGCCCTACATTATGATGTAATGAGAGCTGATGGAAATGGGAAACTAGCAGCGTCCTTTTATCATTTAATCTCTTTAAGTCAGACGTACGAGTTTCTCTGTGTTGATTGTTTCTTTTCAGACACTTTAAATCTTATCAGCTTGAAACAGTTGTGTGCTTGGACCAAAGGATTTGTAGGATGGGTATATTAGCAGTGCTTTACACTTCCTTGAGGCTAAAATGGACACTATATTGTTTGCAGACCCACTGGTTTCATTTTACAACAAGATGTATTTACCTGAGACATGACTGACACCTAAAAAAATGTGCCAATGCCAGTAAATGTATACAAAGTAAATGGGAAATTCAAGTTTGGCACATAGATACATCCAAATTGGTCAAAGACAACATGTCTAAACACAAAAAACTTATTATAAAAGAAAGAGGTTATAATGCAAGTAAAATAAAAAGATTTTGAAAACAAAATGTGAAAACATTGGTATAAGTTTGTTCCATAATTCAACATTTTTTTTTTTGTAAAAATAAAACAACACTTGGCGAGGCAGTGGCGCAGTAGGTAGTGCTGTCGCCTCACAGCAAGAAGGTCGCTGGGTCGCTGGTTCAAACCTTGGCTCAGTTGGCGTTTCTGTGTGGAGTTTGCATGTTCTCCCTGCCTTCGCGTGGGTTTCCTTCGGAAGCTCCGGTTTCCCCCATAGTCCAAAGACATGCGGTACAGGTGATTTGGGTAGGCTAAATTGTCCATAGTGTATAAGTGTGGATGGAAGGGCATCCGCTGCATTAAAAACTTGCTGGATAAGTTGGCAGTTCATTCTGCTGTGGCGACCCCTTTTAATAAAGGGACTAAGCTAAAAAGAAAATGAATGAAACAACACTTCATCGAAGAGCTCAAAGGGATTATGTTTCAAAATTAGAACCTTTTTGCTGGTTAAACATTATAAGAAATATTTCAATAGAGTCAGTTTGCATTGAATGATTATTGTTTTAAATATGCCTGAAATATTTTTTGTTTTGATTTCAAAACTATTGCAATGCTGGGTTACTTTTTAATGGGTATAGTAGTGTAATATATTAGAGTCTGAAAATGTAAAATAAAAAATATAATATAATAGAGTATATAGAAAATAATGTTGGAAAGTATCATTGACCCAACCACATACAGTATACACTCATTGGCCACTTAATTAGGTACACCTTACTAGTACCGTGTTTGACCCCTTTTTGCCTTCAAAAGTGATTGAATTCTTCATGGCATAGATTCAACAACTGGAAATATTCCTCAGAAATGTTGGTCCATATTTACGTGATAGCATCATACAGTTGCTGCAGATTTGTCTGCCACACATCCATGAAGCGATCTCCCGTTCCACCACATTTCAAAGGTTCTCTGTTGGATTGAGATCTGGTGACTGTGGAGGCCATTTGAGTACAGTGAACTCAATGTCATGTTTGTCGCCGTTGTGTCCACATAATCGCCGCTCACTGGATATTTTCTCTTTTTCAGACCGTGGAGTGGTGTAAAGTAACTAATTACAAACACTCAAATTTCTGTAATTGAGTAGTTTTTCTCAGGAATTTTAATTTACTTAGTAGTTTTAAAAATGTGTACTTTTACTTTCCCTTGCGTACATTTTCAGTGCTGTATCTGTACTTTTACTCGACTACTTTCCTTCAGCCTGCTGTCACTACTTTATTTCTCCTGCCTATTGGGATTAGAAAAATCAGTCCTGTGATTTCTGTCTAATAAAATCACACATTGAAAGTAAATTGCACCATAACGAACTACCGGTACCTCAAGACATGGGCGATTTTATAATAACAGCAAACTGTTTGGAAGAATTAAAAGTGTCCAAGAAGATGTCCAAAATCCTTACACGCATTGACTCTTTAGACTGTTTAGATGCATTACATTGATAAGACGATCACAGGTGTTTACTGATGACTGAAATGGCCTTAAACAACCAGTAGGCACAAGACGTCAACATGACGTCTCACTGACGTTGCATTTTGTGTGGAAATGAAAATCGGGTTGACATCAGGACTCAAGGTCAGGCCAATGTCAACGTCCAACCTAAAACCAACCAAATTCGTCCAATGATGTTACAGCTTGATGTTGTGTGGACGTTACCACTATGCATCTATCAGATGCTGGTTGCCATACCTGACGAATAAATGTCAATATTTGATGTCAGTATGACGTTGGGTTAAGATGTTGGCTTGACGTTGGATTTTGGTCACTTTCTAACACAACCTACAATCGACCAAATATCAACGTCATTTGACATCAAAACAATGTTGTCCTTAAACGCTGGTTAGCCACTGAACTTTGGTCACCTGACATCACAACCTAAATCTAACCTAAAATTAATGTCTTATGATGTTGTGTGCCTGCAGGGCAATAACTTGATGTTCTACAGAATGTTACGTTTACACACATCCACAAATGACATGTGAATGCATCAGGTTTTAACAGCGTAATACTTACTATTCTTGAGTACTTTTAAAATATCTACTTTTTACTCATACTTTGAATAATATTTACAACATATACTTTTACCCTACTTTCACTACATTTTAGGCAAGTAATGGTACTTTTACTTGAGTATGATTTTTAAGTACTCTTTCCACCATGCACTGCCGTTTATCTAATCTCATTAGCACAGCGCTGAAGTAACCTGACTAGTCTGCCGCAGAGCAGAAGGCTCCAGAACAGGCCTCTTCAATGCGCTTCTCCTGTCTGTTAGATTTTACTAGATGCAGAAGGTCACAGATGCCTCAGCGAGTGACAGAGGAAACAAACATGTATCAGCAGGAACACATGACAAGATGCAGAAGCACATGCACAGAGTGTGACTGACAGTAGAACATTCATACAGAGAACCATGTTGCTTCATAGAACCTACTTCATGCTTTCCAAGAAGCTGTCTGTTTAAAGCAAGAACGACAATTCACTTTATAGAAGCAGAAACATAGTCTATAGTAAACATATGATGCTAATATAAACAATGTGTTTAAATCCCAAAAAAATGACATCAATTATTAATGGAATAACCTTGATTTTTTTAGATGAATGATTTTGTATACATATATATAATTTTATATGTTTACCTAATCACATTTTTTCCACACTACATTTTAGAAACATTACCAAGCAAACATTCAGGCAGATTTCCAGTATAAATGATGTTCTTGCAGTCTAAACTTTTTAAAAAGAGAGATGTTTGAAATGTTTTACAAACATTGTGACTTGAAACCCATTTCATTTGCTTTTCATTCCGATGGTTTAACTGCACATCAGGAAGGCATTTGCTTGAATTGCGAGGCAAATACATTCAACGTGACATTTGTTCCTCTCTTAAAATATCTTTTCCCAAGCCATGCTCACTGTTTGGCTCTCAGCTCGGGGACAAGTGCTATGAGGGGATTTCCTACACATGTAGATGGCTGGATGACAATCATATTTCCATTTTATGACTCAAGTTATATGAAGGGCTCAGCATTTTTCTGCTGAACAAGTCAACAAAATGCTAATGGATGCAAAATGTTCTTGTTGATGGAATTGTCTGGAAGTGTTTATACACGATCACACACTCTCACAAACACACACCTGTTCCTGTTGCTCTTAAACTGATTTCATCATTCCCTTAGGTTCACACTGTGAAATGTTTCAGTTTACATCCTGGACCAACAAATCTGTGACTCAGGCCAGCCACATGATTCTGGTGGTGTAAAGTTCTCCCTTGTTTGTTTCCCAGAATAAGGTCAGATCACAACCTATGGTCTACAAGAACTGAACCCCAACCTGCCTGATATAACAGGACAAGCTACAGCATAAAATGTTCACATATGAACAAGTTTGATGAAAAGTAATCAATGAAAACCCCAAACAGCACATGCAATATACTCTAGATTCCACTGTTAATGGAGATTACATGTTTACTAATATTTGTTTCATATATGGGTCAGTTTGACTCTCTTCTGTGGAATGTGTAAAAATGTTATGATTAAGGTCATTTTGGTTCTTTTAAAGCAATTTGGGGTTAAATATGGACACACCAGTAGTTTGGTTAAAAATTTAAATATAATTGTATTAGTCTTTTTATCAGTCATTGCAAACTCCCAACAGCACATGTAATACATTAAATCAGGGGTGCCCAAACGTTCTCTTATGAAGGGCCTAAATCCAAACTTGATTGAGGCTAGGGGACCAAAGGTAAATATAGTTGCCATGGGTAATTTCCAGATTTATTTAATAATATTAAAAAAATTATATAATACAGCACATATTCACTTATTACAATAAAAACAAAAACAATCTCATTTATAACAGAATGAAGTTACACTAGTTTTTGCCTTGATTTGCTCGCCAATGTCTTCTGCATATCCTAGTTACATTATTTACATTTACATTAAATAATGAAGTTATAAGTCACATTATTTACATTTACATTTAGTTGAAACATTTAATTTCAGTTTTCATTCTTGTAGCTTAGCAATAAAACAAACAAACAAAAAATTAGAAATGACTATCATTTTGATAGGCAGTCTCCCCAAACTTCTCCATCATTCTAACTCTCCACTCAGATGTGATGGTGGGTCAAACTAAAGGTTACAATGGGCCAACTTTGGCCCTGCTTTAGGCATCTGTGCTCTAGATTCTACTATGGATTTGGTTGTCATACTCCCTAAAATGCTGAGTTCTTTCCACCCAATTTTGGGTTAAAGGTGGAAAAACCCAATCTTTAAGTTTAATTTACAAATTAGTTACAATTTTCAACCCAGTATTTGGAGTTGTTCATAATTGACCCACATTTTGTTTAAAGCAAATGAGCATTCTTAAGTGTGGACAGATGCAAAATTCAATAAAAATATTAGTATTTGTGTTATTACAGTAATGTGATAATATGTATTCTTTGAAAACTGGGTTTCCCTGATTTATTAATTTACTTTTTCATGTTGTAATTTTAGTGAATTGAATCATATCCCAAAATCAATTTAGGTCCTATGGAATATTGCAGTGTTATTATGACTGAATAATCCACCAGTTTTCAACTAAAACCAGAAAATGCAATTTGGCCAACTAAAAACAACAACAGCAACAAAAACCTCCTGTCGAACCTATTTTAAAAATCATATACAGAGTAATACATGTGTGGGGTTTTTTTTATAGACCCTTGAGAGTAATTATACAAGAGAAATGTGCTTATTTATACCACATGGTCATGTCGTTTACACTATTAAAAGAGATAGTCAAGTTTCTGCATGGCTCATCTTTAGTCTGCAATGATTCACCGTTTCATGTCTGGGCATGAAGACACCTGCTACAGTGCAACTGAGAGAGACAGAAAGACATGTGAGAGCAATAACACACTCACACATGCATCTCTCACACATCTGCTGCTTTACACCTTCCGTGGCATGTCATTTGATGAGTTTAATCTCTTATGATTAATGCATTATATGCATATTGTTGGTCACTGTCAGCATTACATAACAGTTTACATATTTGTAATTGCATATTGTTACAAATGGAAGATATAATACATAGACATTATCAAATTACAGAGCACAAATGTATTTATCTGATGGAGATCATAAAAAAAAATTGCCATGAAAGGTATGACTCATCGGAAATTGGAACAGTGATTTAATCACTCCTACGTTGTTAAATATTTTCCATATGATTGTGGAAGAAAGAAATTCATGTAAGACAACTTAGTGTTTTATTGTTCTCACAATGAAGGTGGGATGGGTCCAATTTATTTTCCCCACCTCCACTGAAAAGTCTGAAAAACTGATGACAGGATGTTTCTCTCTTTCTCTTTCTTGCCTTTAAATTCTATACAATCAGATAAGCCAACAAACTGATGACACTCAAATGAAGCGTACTTTCTAATGAAGGATTTAATAGACAGTTTTTATTTATAAATATTCTACTCAGTTAATTTCTAACAGATTGTAACTGTTACAGTATATATTTAAAAAAAACAAACACACATACATTCATAACCAATTTGCAAAATAGAGGAATGTGAATAAACTATTGAATTTCAAGTTCAAAACATTTCAAACTCTTCAGGTTCATGGGTAATGTGTATTTTGTTGTGTAAATGTATGAAATTGTTCATGTCTTACTTGCTTAATTTGATATATCATCCAACATTGGACTAGTTCTGAGTAAAATAACTAATAATAGTTGATAAAATATCAGAACTTCCCACGTTCAAAACGCAACCACCTAAAGAGAACTTTATATTGCTTGTCTGTTATTTGCATTTTCATTGCATGTTTTCTCAGTATGATCTATCAAATACAGTGCAGCAAGAATTTCGGTTGGAGACAGACATATTTTACACTTGCATTAAAGGGCACCTATTTTACCTATTTTCTTGATTTAAGATGAGTCTTTTGTGTACCCAGAATGTGTCTTTAGAGTTTCAGATCAAAACACCCATCAGATTATTTATAATACCTTTCAGAATATTGCATTTTCTGCTTTGAACACAATGTAGATGTTTTTGTTGCCTTTGTCTTTAATGCTAGTTCTCCCTGCCCACCATTCCTACATTCCTGTCAGAGTGTGCCTCAATCTCCGCCTCGGCTGTGTCAGATAAACAGCACAATGACAGAAATGAAGAAAGCAGATTTGACGTAACGTTTGTGAGAAATACTACAGTAAGACCCTTCCCAATGGTTGTTTGATGTATTTGTTGTGGAGTTAATTCAAGCCTTACTGCAATGATGAGTCACATTTACACTCATCATCGTTATAAAGTTCACGCACACACACAGGCGCACACACACACACACGGGAAATGTGACAGGATAACAGTTAATATCCCCTGCTGTATGATATCTGTTATGTTTACGTACAAAATAATCCTGATTTAACATCCACAAACCAGGATTGAAGCATTTTCTTTTATAATTGTACTGACATGCGGCTCTGCTGATAAAGTAAAGACAGTAAAATCACTGTAATTCATTACAAACATGCACTGTTTTAAAAAAGTTTTAAACTTGTAAAACTCTTTCTTGATCACATTTGATGATGATTGATGATCACAGAGAGCTGAACAGATCTTTTAATCTGAGTTGCTGTCCCCATGTCCTGTCTTGTTGATATGAATAAACGCGTTACTACAGAGACAAGTCAATACGCGAGTCAATCAATTTAGTGGGCAGGTAAACTGCACTCCAACATCATGTTGGAATGAGTCTTAAAATGGGAGGGATTTGGATCCTATTTTAATTTCAGGAAATAAAAAAAAAGAGACTTATTGTCTTTTAATCACCCCAATATGTCTGTGAACACACTATACCTACACAGGTCTGTCCAAACAGCTTATAAGAGATGATTTTCATCATAGGTGCCCTTTAAGTCACTAACCAACACTTGACACAAATGCAATCATGTCGGCAAAAACTTATCAGAGAGATAGACCAGAGGTACTGAGCCGTGGTCAAATAGCTTGAATGGCAATTTCCCCATTGACGTCCATGCGTCTGTCTTAGGGTCGAAGCAGTCAAAGCTGTCTGAGTCTTCTACACGCTCGTGGCTGTTGAAGAAACGGCCTCCAGTCACGTAGATCTTGCCGTTCACAACCGTCGCAGAGTGATGCATCTTCCTGGCCTTCATATTTTCACATTTCTCAAATGTGTTGCTTTTTACATCATAAGCTACCATTCTTCTTGTATAGCCTGTTAAATGAATTAGAAATACAATGTTAAAGTTGACATCAAACAGAAGTTGTGTTTTTTACCATTATTATACTGTTAAATTAGCTTTATGCTTGAATTTTAAAAACTATTGCTATAAGCAACACCGGTCGCTGTTAATTGAACTTTTTAGTGCACTAAAATAAGAAAAATAGATGAAAAGGTATTGGTGTTGAACACTTTCCTCTCAATATCTAAGTTTCCATCTAACTACATAATAAATATTGCATAAAACATTCAATAAAAACATGAATAAAGCACCGTTTCCATCCAATGAGTAAAAGAACAAAATTATCCCTTCCTGATGAACTGGCTTCAAATATTAAAATATAAAACGGAATTTGCTGCGGCAGGAGAAGCCACTGTGGGCCTTTTTTTCTTATATAATAATTGCTTGCACCTCAAAAAACGAAATGCAATGAACAGACAATGGCTTTTGGAGGCACAAGACCGCTCTTTGGGAGAGGTCAACACAGTTCTGGGAGGTGATAATGCTGAATCACCTTGATGACAGATATTGGCAATAAGATTTTAGAAGAACCAAAACAACATTGTGGTATACAATGTAGTCAGTCCACTGGGTTGTCCATTGATGCTGTCCCATTGATTGTGCCCATATTTGTTATAACATAGTAAAATCAAGTGATGTTGAATGTGTATCCTAGTCAGTTGTGTGCATATGTTTTTTTATGTGCATTTTAGCAATTCCATTAAAAAAATATTTATATAAAAATAGGTGGATAAAACATAGCTATCAACAAAACACAAAAGAACATGACAACAGTGAAAAAACAGCAGTTAAGAAAGCATCTCATAATAGCAGTTTGAATGTGTTTGGAGAGTTTGTTGGCATCATGTTGACCAGTTTGGCAAGTTTATATTTATATCAAATTTTTTAATGTATATTTAAGATTACAGACTATATATTTTTGGTTATGCGAGACTATGGGATTACAAGTGCCACATTGGAAATACTCACTCCCGAATTCTAAGATTCTCTCATCGCCTGATAATTTAAGAAAATATTTATATCAGGGTTTTTCAAGACAGGAAGTGAAGTTGGTGAGAGATTGGGATGGGATTGTGGAAGGTTGAATGAAATCTTTGGATGCCCATAGTGCAATGGCACCATATATCAACGCACTGCCCACAAGGTTTTCAGCCATGGTCAAGGATTTTTAATTTACTCCCATGTTGATAGCCCTGATTTATAATAAACTTCACTTCAAACCTTACTAAAATAAGAATAGTAAAATTTGATTTCAAAATCCAGTTTGCTGGAACTATAGTCACAATACAACAAAACTACTTACCGCCTACAATGTAGATTTTATCATCAATCACTGCAGCCGGTGCACAAACATTCTTCACTGTCCTGTTTTCTATCCTGCACCACATATTCCTTCCAATGTGATACACCTATCAAGAACACACAGCTTTAATCACTTTAACATCATTTCAAATTGTATTCAGTTACACCAAAAAAACGTAAAGGATCAAACCTGAATCATTCGCACTGGTTTCTGCATAGCGTCTTCCCCACCAAACACGTAGATTCTCTGGTTGTGTGCGGCTACAGCAGGATGCAGAACTGCAGTGGGCATTGGTGCCATGGCCTCCCATTGGTTGAACATAGTGTCGTATCGCTCTACCTCATTAGACAGCTGTCCATCAGCCCCCAATCCACCCAGAACAAAAATAAAATGCAGGTAGGTGGCGCTCTGATGGCCGTATCGGGACGTCAGCATGGATTCTCCCATTCGCCACTGATTTGTTTTTAGAGAAAGCGTGTAGACTGTGTTGCTGGGTGTGCATTGGCTTCCTGATTTCATTGTTAAGCCTCCTAGTACGTAAAGGATGCTGTGCATGCAGACATAAGCAGGCCTGTAGAGCCGAAGAGGAATCTTTGCAAGCCATTTCCAACAGTGAGATTGTTCATCATAGAGTAGCGCCTCACGGGATGTCTGTTCACCATTCTTACGACCTCCAACTACTACAAGCCCCTCTTTACAGTTCTGACGTCGTGGCGTCCTCCACAGAGGCTCAAGATCACCAGGACAATGAGTGCCGACAGAAAACAAAAGGCGACGAACGGATTCGATAATATCTGTGCATAAAGATGATGACTGAACTAGAGGGTCATTGGCAATGAACTGGAAAAGATAATAAGGGTGGACGTGTCTCAGTCTCACGCGACGGAACAAATCGTGTATGGTGCCATGTCTGGAGAACGGATCATGGTGGATCCAAGCAAGAAGAGTCTCAAAAACTTGCTCCTCCTCAACGCACAGCTTATCGTCCTCCAAGTAACTCACCAGTTCTGGCAGTGAGAGTTCGCAGAAGTCCTCAGAGACCACCACATCTGAGAAGCTCTTAATGGCCAGCTCTCTCGCTTTTTCATGCAAGCTGGAGCAATGCAGGATTTCGGAGAGGCGGATCATGCTCAAGCAGTTGTCTGCACTGAGTTGGGCCTGCAGGAAGGTCGAACAGGCCTCAAAAAGCCTTCCGTACTGAAGCATCGAGGCGGTCTGAATCAGGGGGAGAACCAGCTCCATGCTGATGCTGATGGACCCTGTGTAGACATACTCCACGATCATTGCGAGGATTTCATGAGGAACTCCTTCAAGGTTTATCCTGGACTTCTGGGTCTCTAGGAAGTTGCTGCAGAACATGGCATGGAAGTAGGGGCTGCTGGACACCAGGACATTGCGATGACATGGGATCTCCTTGTTCTCAGAGCACAGAACAACATCAGTGAGAATTCTGTCCTTTCTCAAGGTGTTCAGCTCCAGTAAAAGGTTGGAGATCAGGTCTTTGTCTTTAAAATGCAGAATTTCTGATACTGGACCATCTAAGCTGTGGGGAAAAAAACAATCAAAACATCTGTAGGTATGACATTTGTCACCTTAATCACAAGCAGTGTTACTAGTATAGATTAAAATGTATGTACAAAAAGATTTTTTTTCTGTAAAACTACTGATTTCTTCCATATTTATGCCATTTAGACCTTCATTTTTCATCAAATAACAAAACTTTTTCGTCCCCATGTTTTTAGACATTTATATTTAAGTTTAGACAACTCAATACCAGCGATTTAAGAAACCAATATTAGTCCCTTTATTAATCTTGGGTCGCCACAGCAGAATGAACCACCAACTTTTCCAGCAAATGCTTTAAGCAGTGGATGTCCTTCCAGCTGCAACCCATCACTGGATAAGAACCATACACAACATACACAGACAAATTTTTTATCTTACCTAATTCACCTATACCAGTCTTTGGACTTGTGGGGGAAACCAGAGCACCCGGAGGAAACCCATGCAAACACAGGGAGAACATGCAAACTCCACACAGAAATGCAAACTGACCAAGCCGAGGCTCAAACCAGCGACCTTTTTGCTGTGAGGCGATCATGCTACCCACTGCTCCAACGTGCAGCCAAAATCCAATATTACATCTCAAAACTTTAATTATGTATTTATTTAAATGTTAAAACAAACCAATAAATATACGTATCCTTTTAAATGATTATGGTACACTTGAGCATAAGTGTAAATTAGTTTTATACTTTAATTAGTTGTGAAATGAAGCAGCTCTGCTATTGTTTGTGCACCACAAAATTCAAAAAGAGCATATTTTTATTCATCTGCATGTGAATGAAGGGATAAAGAAAACTATCCCTCTTCACTTTATTTAATACATAAACTTTTGTTGCAAAACACTTATTTAACAATTCTGCAAGTTCACCACAATCACATTTATCTCAGATTTTTTCCAATTTCTTGAAGACTGACATATAATGACAAGCAAACAGAAAACTCATGCATCTCTCCACAATCTACAGGTGCTGCTTTGCAGGCAAAGTTTCTGCATGGTGCACTGATGTGTCAGCCATATCTTCCCTTACCTTGTCTCAGCTGATTTGAAGCACATTTTAGATAGTCCTCTAAATATTAATCGACCGTCAAACCTCAAGCAAAGTTCAAACTCGTCCTTCTGTTTTCCGAAACTTCTGAAAGTTCTTCACTTTCTCAGTTTGGCAGGTGGATGTTTATAGAGACCGAGGCGAGCACGGGTATGTTATTTGTTGTTGAGAAATCCTTCGAGAGGCCTCAATGTACATTCCAGTCTCCCTAAAAATAGAAACCTCTCCTCTCTGTCAGAACTGCTGGTCCCGCTAACACCTCCTCACCCCTTCTGTTTTTCCATAACACAAGTTTCTTCACTGTCTGCATAGCATGTCTGCATTGCTCCACCACCACGTGTGTTTGTTTACCAAAGCTGTAAACAACCCCACTGCTGCCCGAAAGCTATTCTGAGAGGTTGCTGGATACTTGGAAAGACCCCCATTTCTAAGATAAGCCCATGCTGTGTTACTACTGCAGCCGTTGCTAAACACCGGGATGATGAAGGCTTTAGGATGAGGAGACACAACAGCTGAAAGCTTTTAAGCCAAACATCAGCAGGTAGTCTATAAATTGACAGGCATTTGTTCGGACACAGAATTGCTAGTTGTAGGATACAAAGTTGCATAAGAATCTATAAACAAGTACAACAGTTTAAAAGTACAAAACTTAACAAATGAATGTTAATTAAAGTCGTAGTTTTCATTTTTTTAACGATTTTTAAAGATGTGGTTCTTTGCAAGTGAACGTCTGAGGCCCTTCAAGAAAATGGCGTTAGATCGACAGCGCCATCTTGTGTTATTTCACTGCACTGAGGTGCATTACGCAATACTTGCACGTGTGCTGTCATCTTTTTCACATGCTGTAAACTGAAAGGTTTAACAACTTCAAATGAATACGTTTTCATGTTTCCTTACGATAATATTAGAAGAGTAGGAGAGACTTTACTTTAAGGTCAAATCAAGCAAAAAATGTAGGACTGCATAATATTAATTTTCCAGAATGGGCTTTGTTATTTGTGAGATCTGAAATAACAATTATTACTAGTAAAAATTCAATTGTTGATATCAAAAATGTAATTGTTGATATCAACAATTGAATTTTTGATATCAACAATTAACTTTTTGATATCAAGAACTAAATTGTTGATATCAAGAATGTTAATTGTTGATATCAAAAATTGAATTGTTGATATGAAGAATACATATCCTGGAAGGGAATAAAAGTAAAAACGGCTTGCCATAGGGCTTTGGTATTTGATATATCAATTTATGATAAAACCCAGCTACAAGAGTCTAAAAATAAAAAGAAAAAAAATTTTATAGAGCAATTATTTACAATTGCACAATCTGATTACTTTATGATAACACTAGTCAAAGACAGTAATTCATGGAGTGCAAAATTAACAGCTGTTCATATGATGTAGTCATCGCACAGCATTGAAGTTTACATTTCTTTTAAAAGAACCATATTTTCAATTAATTTTGCACTGATTTAAGTAAAACACAAAACAACATTTTTTGTGCTTGAGTGAAACATGGATGTTGGGATTGTCTTTTCTTTATAGTTTAACCTGTTGGAAAGTGCTCAAAAAAGTAAACAGTTTTTTTCTACAAATATTTTTCAACATTTAACCCCTTAAACTGGACCTCTTTCTTTCTAGAATCCCACATTTATTGTTGATATAATGTGCTAACAACAAGGTCATGTGTTTTATTTGTTGCTTTTCAAGTTGCATGTCAATTGCCAAATGCAAGAATGTGACACAAATTAGTTGAAATGAGACTAGCATTGCTATCTACAAAACTCTTAAACTCCTGAAACACAGTGACTGAAAACTAGATTGTCAGGTTAAGAAATTCATGGTAAACAAATTTCTGCTCCTCCCTACCCATTGTAGGACTTAAAACGAATGACTTGAGTAATTCCTTTGAACTTGTCCTGCAACACCCTTTGTGGTTGGCAGGCAGTGCAGTATATTAACATTAAAGTAATGACAATGCCTTTGATGTTCTATAGCAGACATCTATCTATCTATACATTTGTATATCCATCTCTCCATCCATCCATTCATCCATCCATCCATCCATCCATCCATCCATCCATCCATCCATCCATCCATCCATCCATCTGCACAGTTTTCATTAAAGAATAATGGCAATGGCATTCTCGCATGTTGGATCTTAAATTCTTTACAGCTGTCTTTTATGAAAATAAGTAATCCCTTGTCTCTTGGCATGTATCCTGAAGTGTAAAGTGTCAGGAGAGCTACTAGTGCTCTAAAACTAAAGCCTGCAGATACTTCTCATTTCCTGCGAGGTACACAGCAGTGCTGACTCTTTTCAGCAGTATCCTCGTTTTACTGTAAATCCGCTGTGTATATTTGTTAATTATCTCATGCTAAGCACTCTAAGCCTCAGGGAGAGCATCAACACTGATCTACACTGCTCATCATAGCAGGATTAAATGAAGGGTAAATAACAGTCAAACAACAGACTGTCATGACCCAATATAATAATTATATAAATGCATTTATTTATTTATTTATTTATTTATTTATTTATTTATTTATTTATTTATTTATTTATTTATCATTATATCATGATTATGGTGATCAATGTAAATTGCAGATGAAAAAAAGAATGACAATTTAATAAAGTAAAAATGTTTCCACATATTAATATATCTACTTTATTACTATAAAATAATTACTTATAATTTTTTTAAATTATTTTTTTTTAATAAATTAATTAAATTATATAATTTTTAATTAATTCAATTTTCATTTTTTATTAATTTTTTACAATTGATTAAACTTACTAAAAAGATAAGTTTCCAACAAAGCAGACCCAAAACACAAAATATAACTTTAAATCTATATACTTTGCCATTATATTCAAATCAATAGGTGTTTAACAGCAAAATACAACGAAATTTAGCAAGATCACTTATTCTTTTACATATTTTAGTGAGTATGTATGTTTTTGCATAAATGTAACCCTGAAATGGTTGTTTGTTACAAAATTATTGGAATATTGAATGCTGAAATACATGTTGTCATTGTTGTTGTTTTTTTAAGTAAGACTATACCCTTAAACTATAGTTTAAGAGTAAATGACTGCAGAGGCAGATGTTGAAAAATAAGCAGTTCATTCTTCTGTTCTGATGCTCCTGCCAAGATTGCTCCGCTTGTCACTTTGTTTCTGATTTAGGCTATTTGGGACTAAAATAACTGTCTAGAAACAGTGGGAGCCAGCTGATAGTCTGGCAACAGCAATCCTCAAAACCTTTCTTGTCTTGCTAAGAGTGTTGCTCTAGCTGGGTCTACATCTGGTCAACATTCACTCTTTGGCACCCCCTAGCAACTCCCTGTGTATATGCACATCTGAAAAGGTTGTAAAGAGTGATTTAAAATATTCACAATAATTTTTTTATTAATACTTTATGCAGAAACCCACCTATATAAATGCATATAAATATTTTATTAATTATATTAAAATGAATATAATGAATAAAATCTAAAATACTGTTTAACATCTGTTAGTGCTGAGAATTGATTATTTATTCAAATTTATTTTGTAAGGCTCTGTGGTGTGATAGAAAAAAAAAACCTTAATAATGAAACAACAATCTGCATCAAAAAATCTAAGCTCGACAAAGGAAGTTATATTTAGTTATACAAAATTAACAAATTCTGGCATGTCATTGGTTTTAAAACACTCTTTACCATCATGTTGTCTTATGTATTTTGGAATCTAGAATGGATTCTTGATTCAGGTCACAGAATGACCTCCGATTCTTATTTTGGACAATAAGGTGTCTCCTGGCATGCAAATACCTACAAGCAATTAGGTTTAGTTCACAGGTAACACTTATTTGAACATGCCAAGAAAACAAAATGAATGTAAAATCATGTCAAATATCTACACTGTAAAAAATATGACCAAATAGTCCTGACAGCATATGTTTTAGGTCATTATAACCTATTAAACCAAGTTAATCATGCTCTAACTTAAGTTTATAAGTTATGCAAGCTGATTTAAGTCAGTTCAATGTTTAAGTCAATAATCAATGTTCAATGGACTCATAAGGTTAATTTTATTCAGCTTAAAATGTTTAAGCAACCAGGATTTTTTACAGTGTATTTTACACACACATGCACACACAACATCTGTATATATTAAAAAACAGATATAGATATTAGATAGATGTTAAATGCATAGGCCTAATGTATATGTTTATTAAACTTGTCTTGCATGTAAAAGCCTGCATTGTGCTTGTATACATGTTGTTTCTGCATGATTTATAAAGACAAGCCTTTGTACATTACAGTAATTGGCACTAGCCATCAATCACGAGAAAAGCAAAATGTACGTGTACTAGAATGAAGGCCAGATTTGAAATATATTATGCCACAATGCCTGATGCTTTCTGAAGAGCACTTTCATCTTGTGTTTCCTATAATGGACTCCTTTGTGATCATTTGGACAACAAACCATCGTAGTACAAGAGGCTCTCTCTATAGCAAAGACAATTGAGGATTATATTTGCATGTTGCTGTGGTATGGAGCATTCAACATTCATGTGCGTGTTTACAATATCGTCATATAAGATAGAATAGTACAAAATACAATTTACCTATTAGGACTTACAAGCTGACCTGTAAAAGATCAGTTTGACATTGATATATTACGCAGTTTGCTTCACTCATGCACAAATTTAAGGGAACATAGCAAATAGTGAGATAGCAAATTGGGTCATGGTGTGTCAGATCTGAATGACCTACTTCTTCCGGGGCTTTTTAAATTTATTTTTTATATATGCCCTGAAGAGAATGTGCTACTTTTAAAAAGTGGTGGCAAAAGTTTTGGTCACCATCACCACACAATACGCATACAGTTTAAAGTGTCTAGACAGAAGAGAAAGAGAATGTTTAAGGAAACCCTGGTGAAATCACACAAAAACAACTGGAACGTTCTCCATTAAATTGTCCACACAAAAGTGTCTTTATAATAAGCAAATATCTCCTAAATATAAGTGTTATCAGTGGTATATTTTTTGTGTTGAAAAATAATTTAAACAGATGTTGCTAAAATGAATGAATTGAATTTTACATTGTAATTTAAAAATATCTCTGTTTTGGAATGATGGGAAAAACATTTGAATATCCCTCATATTATATCCATATATTCCCCATTTGGCTTTGTACCCAGATTTCCCCACTTAAATTAGGAGAATTGGATTGCAGGAGTGGAGTTTTAAAGGTTTGTTGGACTTTTCAGGAATGCTTA